AAGTAAGTAACTAGTAAGGTGCTACAAAGTTTATGGTATGAAGTATTACTATAAAAGCATACAAAATTTTATTGAATAAAAATATCAAAAATGAAGTGACTGTTTCTCAATATATTTTCTACCCAGCTTTATATATACACTTCTAAGAGCAGTGTTGTCATCTCTCTAACCCTTCCCTGAAAAATTCTGTGCTTGTGTATGTACATCACATGAAAACAATAGTTTTTTGCATTGTGGAGAGCCTTAAATCAAGGTCCTCTGAAATGTTGAGTTTGGAGAACTACTAGAATTCTGAAAGGGCAAGATCGGTGATATAGGGTAGATGGGGTAAGCTTTTATTTATTTTTTAATAATCATCTTATTGGGGGCTTCTACAACTCTTGTTACAATCCATACATCAGTTGTATCTGACATATTCATATATATATTCCATCGTTGTTTTCTAGACATTTACTTTCCATTGAACCCTTGGGATCAGCTCCTTTTTTCTTCCCTCACATTCCCCCCGCCCCCCCAACCCTCATGGCCTCCTGATAGATTGTAGATTGTTAATTATTTTAAAATCTCACTCCAACCGCTGTCTCCCTTCCCCTCTGGTTTCTGTTGTTCTTCCCCCTGACTGGGGGTGTGTGGTTATGTGCCATTCATTGTGATCGGTGCCCCCCTCCCTCCCCACCTCTCCCCTTTCCGCCCACCCTTTCGTTATCTCTGTTCCCGTTCCTGTTCCTGGGCTCCATGTGGTGTGAGTTTTACCTCTTGCCTGTACCGATGTACATGCTCTCAACTAATTTCAACAAAATTCTAACAGGACAGCCCTTGCTACAAAGGGAAAATGAACAGATGAATTGTTATGATGAGGGGAAAAGTCCCTGCCAGAATTTTCCTAGCCATTTTCTTAACAATGCGGTTTTTGGTTTTCTTAAAAATCATGGAAAGCTCCATGATCGTCCTGTGTCTTTGGAAACCACCCCTAAAGAGTACATAACATAACCCACAAAGTCTAACCCTACTTTGACAGAGTCGAGTCTTAAAAGCTTGTGACTGGTCATCTAAGATGCAACTCTTGGTCTCTCCTTGTCCAGATTGAAAGAAGAGTGATAAAAATCAAAGATACATGGAAACAATCAGTCCAGTGAACTTATAAACCACACAAACATCAATCTCCACAACCCTGGGACCAGAAGAACTAGATAGTGCCAGGCTACCACAATCAACTGCCAAGAAAAGGATCACAGTAGAAGGTCCTGGATAGAGATGTGGAATAAAATTCAAAATCATGAAGGAGACAAGACTTCCTGGTTAGAAAGACTGGTAGAACCCTCAAGACTAATGGCTCTTGGCCATCTTTCAGGTCTGCAATTGAACTCACCCTGGTTGCTCAATACTTAGCCAAGCAATAGATAGGTCTATAAAGGGAAAAATAACACTATTGATATCCACATATTTTACAATGATTGGCAATTTGGGATTTACCCAAGGACAATGTTTAGAAGGCTTAGGAAAGAATTTACCCAAAGACAAAGGTTAGACGGGTTAAGAAAGAAGGAAGAGTGGAGACAGGGTATATAGGAAATGGGTGGGAACGGTGATGTTACATTAAGCAAAGTGAAATGATTATGATGAAACAGAATAGATGTGACTCATTTAATGTGAAAGTGATGATCCACTATATAAGTCTTTAATGCATAATTTCTTAAAAATTCCAAAGCACTGCCATCAAGTCTATTGTGACTCATAGCAATGTACTTTGGATATGCTGTCAGGAGAGACCAGTCCTTAGGGACTGACGTCATGCTTGGTAAAGTGGAAGGGCAGTGAAAAAAAGGAAGACTTTTGACGAGATGGATTGACACAGTGGCTATTATCAATGGGCTCAAACATAAGAACAATTATGGGGATGGCACAGGATGGGACATTGTTTCATTCAGTCATACATAGGGTTGCTATGAGTTGGGACTGACCCCAAGGCACCTAACAACAATAGCAACAATTCATAATAAAATACTTTTTTTTATTTTTAAGATTACTCCTTTCTCACCAAAAAACTCGCTCCCATTTGACTTACAGTGAACCTATAGGGCAGGGTATAATTGCCCCTGTGAGTTTCCAAGATTATAACTCTACAACAGTAGAAAGCCCCATCTTTCTCCTTTGGGATCCCCAAGTCAGTTGCTATAACTATCTAAGTGACCTCTCTGATGCGAATTTAACTAAGCCAGTAGATATACACAGAAGTCACTGTTTTGGCTGGATGTTTGTTACACACACACACACACACACACACACACATTTATTTATTTATTCAGTCAGTCAGTCAGACAGACAGTCATTTATTGGCAACCTAATAAGAGCTTTTCTACAGTCATCCATTGATCACAGAGACACATTTAAACAAGTTTTTGTTTGGAATAAACCCATGCGTGTATGAAGTGAAACCCTAGTGGCCATACGTTTGGGGTTTTTTTTAGTGGTCATACTCTTTTACTTAGCACATACATGCATATATAGGAATATTGTTAACCAATAAAAAACAAGGATGAATTACACAAAAATAAAGTTAACCCAAACAGGGCACAAACAGAGAGAATGTGGCATGTGGAGGGGAAATAGCTGCCGAAAACAAGATGGAAGAGTGCTGCCCAAAGTGTATTCTGCAGAACTAACACCTACAGTGTTCTCAACACTGTGCCACCTGTAGAAGACGATCATGGGAACAGCAATAGTCGTCACATAAAAAGCTGTAATATTTGCCAAAACGTTCTAGTTTACCATAAAAGAGCTACTGCGAAATACTAGCTAGAAATTATGATGCAGCCATCCTTTGAATTTGTTTTTAATAACGGTGACCCTACATCTTTTATCTCCTGATCTGCATTACCTTAGTAACAATTTAATTTTTTAATCCTGGTGTCCAAGTTGCAACATTCATCTCTAAAAGTGTAACATGCTGATATGCTCAAATAGAGGTAATCTTTTGAGTGATAAATTTATAAAATGCTGTCTTCATTTTCTAGATCAAAATTCATTCCAGTTTTTAAGAGTGTAATTTGTATTTTTTTTTAAAAGGTAGATACAGACTATTTACTATTGGTTTTAATGTTTCTCTGATGCTCTCAAATAAGGTAAGATATAACTAAGTCTCTAGCATAGTTCAAAAATACAGACAAGAGTGGCTTAAAAGGTAAAAAGTCCCATTATCTTTTAATTCTAATTTTTAATAACAGTTTTTTATGTATAATTTGTAAGTTATGAGAGTCAAGTCTTCCTTTTT